ACACGGCCCACCATGGATCGCAAGAGTTTTAAAAGCTCATCTATTCTCCTAGTTTACACAGTATTTGTGTTCTCTTCGGTCAGCAGTGGGTTTTGCCTCTGAACTCTATCATAAACGCCATTTTTGCCCAGTTTCTGTCATATTGTAAAATCATAAACTCTGGCCTTAACTGAGGCAAGTGAGGCCGGGAGTTCTTTAGCTGATGTTCAGGGTCCTTTTGTGACCTCCCAGATAAGTCGTCAGTGCACTCTTCAAGAAACTTTGGTAGGTTTAACAATGTTTCCTGTTTCCTCTATTTGTAGATAATGGCTTTAGGTATGATTTTACTCCACTGCCGGTGTGTTCGGGATCATCGGCATGCTGAATAATAAAGCTCTTTCCAATCAAATGGCTTCCAGATGGTACTGCGTGATATCTGACTGTACTCTGCTGCATTCCCAACACCATTTGCTAAAATGTAGTAGAACAAAGAACACACACCAAGAATACTTATTCAGTGTTTTTCAATAAGTAATCTTAATAAAGAAGACTGTTGCTACCTCAAAGCACATTGTGTACTGTCGGTCCTGCGTGCTGCACAACAACATTCAGTATATAGTATTTACTGTTATTTACACTTAGCTAGATTAATGCAATGGTGCTGTGTTTATTATGTTGCTCTCTTTTCTTTCTCTCAACAGGTGATCCAGGACATTTGTATATTTCTCACTGTCCCTCTTCCTTCTGTTTTTCTTTTCCTTCATCTTTCTCTCTCCCTTTCCTATCCCCCAGCCATGTCTGTCCCGTCTGTAACAACTGAAAATTAAATTAAATTAATAATAACAAAAAAAGTTGATTAAATGGACCAATATGGCAAGGCTGTGATGATCCACTTGGTAAAGTAAATCCATTGGGTATGTTTGTGGGCCTTCAGACATCAATTCTGACGGCTAAAGAACCAAATGAGACAGGCAAAAAAAAGAAGACTGCATTTTTTAAACTGCAATTACACCAGGAAAAAATACCTTTTTCTATTCTTAGAACCGTCTTAGGGACATGGTCAAATGCCTTCTCCAAGTCCACAAAACAGACGTAGACTGGAGGGTCAAACTGTCACCACGCTCGAATATAGAATAAAGAGCTGGTCCGGTGATCTGCAACCAAGATCAACATCACACTGATGCAACTGAATCAGAGATTCAACTTCCCATCGCCGAGTGGATACTCACGAAATCAAAGGATCGGTGAGAAAATGTGATGCTTCCAGCTAGCTTTGAACCAGAACTCTGAATTTAACTTACTGTATCCCAAGTTGTATGTTCAGCATTACTTACTATGGTGATTTAACCAGATTTTAAAAAGAGCCACTTTTGTGACACACAAAACTGACTTGTCCCATTTTTCATGTGCCACCACGCTGCCTCCAGCCAGCTCAGCTCAGCAACAGTGAAGCAATTGGGGCAGATTCATTTCGCTCTGTGGCTGACACACTTCGTACTTACAGCCTTATAGTGCAGCTCAGGCAGAGGAAATGTTTTTTCTAGACAGTATAAAGGGGGCAAAACTGTTTTCAGTTCAACTTCACAGTGTTGCCTTCCTGCTTTTGGAGCTACTTCAACCATATATTCCAACATCACACTATTTAGAAAATGTGCTCCATCATTCTAACTACACGGCTCAACACTAACACGTGAGACTTAGCTTTCATGCTGCCTTCTTTACTCCCACAGAGAGTAGGTTCCTGGCACTGTACAGGAATGGCGTGCTACACTGGATATTCAGTGCCAGTAACTGTTTCACTAGTCTAGCCCACTTGAAGTCACACAGAGATATGTCCCATTAAATAAGAGCTTTGACTCCCCCTGTCCTCGACTGCTGACCCACAAGGCAGGATATTGTCCACAGGGTCATAAATTTCCCTCGGTGTCGCCTGCTCTGGCTCCTGGAAGACAGTTGACTGTGGCTGCTGGTGTCTGTAGCTTGAATGTCTGAGAACAGAATCAGCAAGTACCAAAGTTTGATTCCCAGCAGGTGTGTCGCCGAGCGGAGGAAGACAGACACATGTTGGTGGTGAATGGGAGAATAGTCTATGTTGATTATTATAAAGGAATATCTGCATCTTTTGTTAGGCCAGCAGTTTGATTGCTTATTGTGTCAATTAAGATCTGCACTATTTACATGACGAGACATCACGATTATTTAGGTAATAGTATATAGTGCATATAATGCTGTGGGTTCTCCGAAGGAAAAAGTGACATATCAGAGGAAGTTTTACTCCCAGATATAACTCAGCTGCATACCTTAAAGCTAATAACGCCCTCAAAGCCTTTAGTGAAGCCAGAGTTCTGCAGTGAGCAACGGACTAGAAATCCATATTGTCCCATATTAGCAAATAAAAGCAAAGCTTGATTAAAAATTTCTAGCCTTTAAAGACATGTTTAATAAAACACTTAAAAATGTAGTTTTGAGCGATTTAGTAACTAAATCTGAGAGCTGGGATAGGCTCCAGCCCCCCCCCCTGAAAAGGACAAGCAGAAGCGACTGGATGGATGGATTTAGTAACTGTTGCACATAGAACATAACCTAAGCACAATAAGCACCACAGGCCGTGCCAGTGCAGCAGCGGTAGGGGGCGAGGGTTGGGTCATGCTAAAATAGTCTATCGTGCTAAAATAGAAACTAAATGTGAGCTACTTATATTTCTGGGTGGTATTTATATTGATGCTTTTCTACTTAGCTTTTTCCATAATAAGCATCTATGGAAAGGGCTAAGAAAACTAATATTGTTCAGCATGAATACGCATTGTATATGGACTGCTCAAATTTAGCCTGATGAATCTGTTTCTTTGATTGGTCAGAGGCCCTGTTGGTGGTCAGTGGGGCTCTGGCAGTGCTCATCCTGTTCCTCCTTGCACAAAGGAGCACATACTGCTCCTGTTTAAATACCTCAGGACACATTGTAAGGTATTTGACCGCCCGGGGCTCCTGAGCTGGAACATTAAATCTACGATGGTAGATTTAATGTTCCAGCTGCAGCAGCTGTGTCAGGTTACAAAAGCAGAGAGGTGCACGATCTAGACCAGCCAACTGCCAAAGCTGTCTTTATAGGTCACACTTGCTGATGATCAGGTAATCAAGTGCATTTTGTTAGCAACACATGGCTGTTACTCTGAAATCTCATGTAAGCCATTAAAGATGTACTTCGGTATTTATGTGGCTGCAGAGTCCTGTGGAAACTTTATTTTCACGACAGAACTGTTCATCTCAGTGAGGTCACTTGTTTCCTGCATCATCGCTGTGTAACCTCTTTGCCAGTTATCACAAACACATGATTGCACTTCTTGCTGCCGAGAAGGCCCAACCAGTGATTCAGTTTAAGAACTGACTTTATCCAATAAAGTTTGGAGCTGTTTTAAATGATGATTTCCTTTATTGGAGAATAAACTCCAATAAAGGAAATCATCATTTAAAATCTGCATTTTGTATTTACTGGAGTTATTTTTCTATTAAACTTAGTTTGATAATCTGACACAAGCATGACAACTGTGGAAAACCCCAAGAAATCAGAAAGGGGCAAATACTCTTTTTAATGCACCAAATTGCAAAAAGGTAAAAAAGCACCGTTTTCATTCAATATAATTACACAGCAACATGTAAAACAGCCCGTCCATTCTTTTTTTAATAAAGCTTGTAGCGTACATTGTTAAACAGCCACGTTTACCAAATCAGTGTGAAAGGATGGAACAAGACATAACTAGAGATAATGATGCATGGGGACCATTTTCAGGTTGCATTTATCAACATTTGCTTTTAAAAAAGTGCTTTTATTGAAAATGTTATTTATTTGCAGGTCACTAGACTATTTTATTTACTCTGCATTGTCTAACAGGTACCTAAGAGGTAAACATGCACTCTGTAGTTTGCTGTTACACCTGAGACTCATTAACATGTATATAAAAGGACATCATTTGAAAAAGGTGGCTGCTGATGCTGCCCCAGCCTCCTGGTAGATACACGGGTGGCATCAATTTTAAAATCATCAAGTTACTGTCACAAGTGAAGTGACCTCAACCTCCCACCTCCACGTCGCTGCGATTCAAACTACACTAGTTATACCGATCGTATAAACTCCTACGTCACTGTTCATATGCATGTCCATGCTGCCTGCCCACCTGCCAGGGTGACAGCTCTCATCAGCCTTTTACAGCTGAGGGGTCAAAACTGTCACCTAAATTTCTCCCCCCCCCCTCAATTTCTTTGTGTAGATGAGCCATGTGTTATATCTGACAGAAGCTTTACATTTTAATTAAAAATAAGAAAACTGAAACATGGACGCACAGTGGTTAAACACTGCTGCATCACACTGATGTCTGGAGCTCTTTGTGGAGCTGACATGTTCTACCTGTGCCTGCCTGGTTCTGTCTTCCACAGACATGCACAGTAGGTTGAGACAGGCAGCTGGGACATGGGCCAGCATGCTGGTTATGCAGACTCAGGCTTCAGAGCAGGATATGTAACAGATCGGCTCCCCAGTTATCTCCATTGAACATAATACTTTTTTGGGGGAGGGGGTTATAAAGCATGGACACATATACACACACACTCACTCGCGCACACACGTATATATTTAGAGACAGAGGAATTTGAACACCACGCACATTCAAATTTCAACACTGAAACACAAAGTTTTAAAGCCATGCAGCATGTGCATATTAAATATTAGCATTAACGTAAAAACGTGGCAACATCAGCCAAAGCACATCAAACCAGGCTTATGCATCAGATATATAAAAACCCAACACCCACGTAAATGCAGAAAAACCTGTTCTAGCATGTGTCGGATGTTTATTTCACCTCCTGTGATCAATGATCCTACTCAAATATCCAACTGGTATGATAGTATATTGCACTTAGTAAGCCATGCATCATCAGCAGTCCAAAGAATACAAAGGGATTAGTTGGGCAGCGGTCTGTTACAGGCATCTGGCTGCCACATCCGCAGGTCCACCAGAATCTGGTTCAGCTTCTTCATCCACAGATTTCTCTCCTCCTTGGTGTCAGCACTCAGCCAATTTCTGCACAGGAAAACAAGCAGAGTATGTTGACTGTCATCAAGCCACTCTTCAGGAGTAAGTACCTGTCCATATGGTGGAAACGTACCTAGTGACACACGTGGTGTTCTGGCACTGGCTGACAAGCGTTTCTCTGTCATCGTCTCTCCGTGGTCTGATGGTGATGAGCTCAAACGTGTTGGGTCGGGCACAGAACTCTCTGCTGGCTGGCTCCACTGCCTTACTTGTGCAGTTGGACAGATTGATGCGACCAATGGGATTCTACGAGATGTAGAACAACCCTGTTCAGTCTTTGCTTATATTTTATTCTTAAAGCTTTAAACTTTGGCACCGTCTATTTAATGTTTTTCAGTTGTTACTGCAGGTTTAGAGCAGTCACATATTAGTCAGCACGTGAATGTAGAGTAACAGACAAACTTGCTTGCTGGCTCGCAGCATTGTTACCTTTCTCTTTTCATCGTCTGGGTAAGTCCAGTAGGAGATGCAGTATCCTGACAGGACGCACCATCGTCTGTGCCAAGCTCCAAACCCACTAACATCTTCAAACATCGTCTGTGGTAAGAAAAAACAAAGACAGATGATTAGACTTCAAGAATAGTTGTAGCAGCAGCACATTAAGGCCAGTATCAGCCTCATGAGCCATACTCACCAGGAAGCCCCTCTCCTCCACCTTTGAGCCCACTTCACAGTGCATCTTAAGGTAGATGTGGCCCTCCAAAGGGCACAAGAATGGCACCTATGACCCAGAGCAGGCAGACTGAATGGAAGGCTAACACTTCATACAGCACTATGCAAAAGTCATGAGCCACTGCATATTTCTTTATATTTTACTGGGAAAATAAGAAATGACAATCATTCGATTTCAGTACATGTGGGAGAAAAACAGTGGTGCAGTCTACAGGTGAATATGGACATGGAAACACTGTGTGTGTCATGGTTAATACTTAATTACATACATAGGCTGACATAATTACTGAGTTTACAGATGCATGAGGATGTTACTGCCATGGTTGTAACAGTGTGAATGGAGACAGATATACATGGACTATGAACTCAGGGCTTTCATACCTTCTCCAAAGGAAACTGGGTCTTCCCAATTGAAGCCAGGGTGAGCTTGTATGCTCCAATCAGAGCAAAGTTACTGGTGCGAACCGCATTGGGGCCTCCAGGACTGGCCACAACTGCAACAACATACATTATGCTTAATAATGACAAGTGACACAGGTGGAAAGTACTGAACACATGAAAAAAGGAAGGTGCAAAAAGGCATGGACACACCCCTCAGACATCTGTCAGTAATTAGAAACCCTGCTACTGGGTGCAAATTCGTCTCAGCTGGTTCCTATAAAAAGGTGCCTCATTACTGACATCTAGTGAGAATTTCATGTCAAAAGAATCTTTAGAAATATATTGACTTAAAAACATTGGTGATGTGTACCCACTCTGGCTCATTTGTTTTGTTCAGACATACATTATAGCTAAACATCTGTATTTGGTTTTGCTCAGATACAACTTTCCACACAAAAGCTGTCACACTGTGACTAAAGACGTCACCTGGAAGAGTATTGAAATGTTTCTCCTGTTTAAAACGGCCCAAATGAACAGAATCCACTGTGTGAGAATAACATCACCGATTCATCCAGTACGTCTATTTGACCTAATAAAGCTCCTTTCTCCTTGAAGCTTATATTGAGACCATCACTCTGTATCTTTTACACTTTGTTACACAATAGTCATCACAGCACAGTTTGTATAAACCTTAGTGTCACATACCTGGTGTCTGTGTCGTCTTCTGCAGGAGAAGAATAAATTAATTAGCATGTGGAAAAAAGGAGCTTTTTTCTCATTTTTTCTTTAAAGTTTTAGTTTTTAGTTTTTTTAAATACTTACAGTGATGGCAAGGAACTTCTTTGGAGTGATAGCCTAGGAAGATGAAGAAATATTACATTTGTTTTAAAGAGTAAAGTGAGAACAGCCACACACTCTAAAAGCATATCCCAACAGCAAACAACAAAAGTAAAATAAAACAGGAATTACCTTCGACTTGTTGGTTTTCTTCTTCTTGTCACTGCAGATTTCCCGTTTCTGCACCTGAAAGGGAACAGCACTGTGCAGCATCAGTAACACTGCAAAACAGAAACTTACAGAAGACTATGAACAGACGGTGTCACAGAAATACAGCGTTAGTACTTGCAGAACGAGGACACGTACCAGACAGTATACTTCTAGACTGATGTCAAAGCCACTGTCAACGTCAGATCTGAAAGTCAAAGATTCTCCTCAGCAATCAGTAAATAAATTATGTTTAGTTAATAGTGTTTAACAACAGAGGCGACGTGCTGAAATGATGAGTGACCACAGCGGTGTGACTGAAGGCCAACAGTGGCTCCACTAACTGCTTCTGACTCACATAGTGAACTTGGTGGGGAAGGTGAGGGTGTCGCCACTCAGGCCACGGTGTGTCGTGGCTAAAGGCGTGGCCACAATGTTCTCTGCTCCCGCCCTGATCATGATGAAAAATGAATGTTTGGTAGACTCTGAAATAATGGAAACAAACAGCATGACAACATTAGTATGAAATTGTGGGATTTCACTCTGACTGTGAAGATTCTTAAAACTGACAAATAACAGTTTGATAAAAGCACTCATTTGAGATGTGGTCTAATGGAGAACATGGAGAACTGTAGAGTTATGGATCGTGTACCTGGTTTATTGGCAGTGGAACAGACAAAGTCAGCCTTGAGAGGCAGGCGTAGCTCCTGCAGGGTGATGCAGCCTTTGGAGGCCATCGGCTGTGGGGCTGCAGGCCCCTCTTTCCTTCCTCCTGGATTTCCTTTCAGCTGGTCCAGCTCCACCTTCAGTGCTTCTCTCTTTTCGCCTGAGGCCATCAAACGTAAACAAAGTCATGTCTTTGGGCCAAACCATGTCCCTCGTTAATCTTCTAAACACCGACATGTGGAACTCTAACATCGACACTGGGTAGGTCTGTGCAATGCTTTCACATTTTATACAGGAAACTAAATATTAGCACTATGTGTATTTTTTATTTGTGTTCCTTTACTCAAGACTCTGTGATCGTGCTATGTGAACAACCTTGAGCTGACTAAGGAAACATTAGAGATGTGCTTACTTGCCACCAGCAGCAGCCTCTCTGCCTCAGCCTCCACCTGCGAGCCTTTCCCGTGTTCTTCATCTGTGCAGCAGTTGAGTGCCTGGCTGGCTTGATAGATAACCGTCTGCTGCAGGTTGATTTCATTTGTCAGAATCTACACAAAAGGTAGATTTGTGTGTAAGATCAGACTGTAGTTTATTACCAGTTGAAATCCTGTATGGAACAAGTTTAATGTAAACCTTTATCTTCTGTTTGACACTGAACAGGCTGGATGCTCGGGGCTCCTCGGCTCTCTTAGAAACGTCTTCTTTTCTCACAATAACCTGCTTCACACTGGGCCTCTCGGTGTTCTTCACCCTGGTTGACCTGTATGCATCGATACTTGCACACAGCAACAAACATTCAGTGAGACGGTGAAAACAGACGGCTCTGAAGCATCTCAGCACTGCACGGAGGAAACACTTACCTGTAGGGAAGCTTGTGGTCCTCACTTGAGACACTTGCACCATCTCCATCTGAGGAGGTCTGGAAGCTTTTGGCTTTGGCGACATCGTCGGGAGTTGTGCTCTTCATAATGAAAGAGTTGGCTGGAGTGGATGTCTGCACAAGTCATGAAGAAAATATTATCACTGAACAATTACCGCTGCATTTCCATGGACGAGGACTCGTCGGTGCTTACCATCATTCCCTTTTCTGGACTGTTTACCACAGCGGCCACAGTCTCTGCCAGTGGAGTGAGGAGGGACATCGAGGAGATGTTTAAAGCATCTTCCTCATCACCGCTGTGATCTTCACTCTGTTCTAGATCTCCAAACAGCTCGTTGATGACGGTAGAATTGACAGACTGGTCCACGTTTTCTTCCCTTTTCTCCTCTGGGGTCTCTTCAGTCAACTTATCTGTAGTGTGAACAGCCACTTTCAGGGGGCTGGAGGTCAACACTGGAGGGGAGCTCATCAGCTGACGACCTGCTGTTTATTTAAACCCATGTTAGAAATCTTGAGATTGTCATCAGGAAGTATGGTTTGTTTTGTTGTGTAGAGCTGTACCAACACCCTAAACTCAAAATCTGAAGTTAAACTGAATCACTGCTGAGGGTCCAACAGAACCACCGATGGTGACAAAACACACAGCAGTCATTGCACTGTGACTAAAAACAATATGTCATATTATAATCTGCCCGACACCAGATAACTGATAGCTTCACTTTACCAGTAGTCCGAGTACTCGGGCTCTGTTCGGGACTGTCATGCAATACCTGAAGGAGCGCACTCGCCGCGTGCGTCAGATTTCTTACATGGTGCAGGGAATTCATCCGGCGGCTCAGATGAGATCACTTCTCTCTCAACAGGCTTTACGACCTCTTCCTGAAAAGTACGTCATTTGAAAAATTCACTGGGGTGAATGCTGGGAGACTTTATTTACTCTGTGTGTGCCTGATGCTTCCTGTCCAACCTTAGTGTCCGCTCCTCCTTCTTTGTCCTTCCACATTTTGCTCCTCTGCTGGAAGCGACTGCAAATTTGAGCCAGCTCACTCTCACGCTCCTGAAACGAGCAGGCTTGTTATTAGAATGTGCCATTCTGCTATTCGGATAAGGGCGAAAAACATAACTGCAGCACCAAGAATGACATCAACCTACCAGTTTCTGCCTCATAGTGATGTCAGCGGTGGTTGTGTTTGTAGCCTGGGCAGCTCTGAGTCTCTCCTGTACCGACCTGGTGTTTGGAGTCACAGAGGCAGCGCTGGTCTGTACTCCGACTCGAGCAGGTGAGCTCTGGTTGATGCGCTCCCGCAAAGATTTCACTCCTATTTGAGATGGTAAAAATCACTCTAACTTGTGGAGGATAGAATCAACTAATGGGTCTGTGTCAACACTGATTTGAGCAGACAATTAAATGACAATGTAGGAAGGTGCCCCTGGTACACAAGTGAATAGAACCGGCTGATGTGCTAAGAAACTGGCCATATCAAAACATGCAGACACTGCCACTGAGCAATTTTCATCATAACCAGCTTTCCAGTCCAACTCACCAAAAGCTCCTGTAGTAACCTTTTCCCTCGAGGCTGGAAGGTCAGATGAGCTGGGCTTGGCGCAAAGCTCCAGCTTCTGGGGACTGCAGGAGACATTTGGGCCTTTGGACAGGGCCTGATGTTTTTGGGGACTTTGAAGCGCTGACATGGAGGAGCTGGCCTTCTGCTGACTAGATAAGAGGGCCGGTTCCTCAACCGAGGTCTTCTGATGAATAGAGGACACTGTAGCGCCCTGGTTGGAGCACTTCTGAGGACTGGATACCAAGTCGGCTTTTTGAAGGCTTGGAGAAAACGCAGCCTGCTGAAAAATAAACAGATGGAAAGCCAGTTTATTTATACAGGAGATATATTTCTAGTGACCCAGGAAACCTTGCAGGAAAAGCTAAAATTTGAATAGTGAAGCGATTATGCAGAAGATAAAAAATGAATACCTGTTTGGAGATGCCCGTGCACTTGCTCCTCACGGTTGAACTGGTCACCGAAACGCTGGGTTTAGTGCTGGAAGCCGCAGCACCTCTGACTGTAAATCTGGGACTAGACGAAGCAGCGAGCGTCTCCTTTGCTTTCTCTTTGGGGGTTTTAGCATGGCTGAGATCATCCTCCCAGGAACCAATGGTTGCAGCCAGGTTGGCCAGTCTGCCTCTCCTCCCAAGGGAAATTTCTGAGGAGACAGAGGGACTGGCAGCTGGTTGGGCATCAAACGGTCTCTTTATCGTGGATACAGGAATACAGTCTGAAGGTACATCACAAGCATCTGAAAAGGGAGAAACAATTTCACTTTTACACGTTTATTCACACGTAAGAAACAGACGTTATCTGGAATTTCAGGATTAGAGCTCATCTGAGGACGAAGATGGAACATCTGTTTTTCTGAATCCTTCTTGGTGTCATAAACTGTAACTGTAACCAAAAGAATCACGTATAAGAGAGCCAACAGTGTGTGTTATATAGTTCTACATTACATATAAGAGATTTCTTTAAAATAGACCGCATCAGAAAACATTTCAACCTCCTGTTGTCTGCTTGTAGAAGTGGGAATCACCAGACAACACAATACCTGACCTATGATACGATATTATTGCCATTATCACATTTTTAAAACCAGATTACACACAGTCACTAAAACCTGCCATAAGACCGACTGACTGTAGCATCAGTCGGACACTCAGCACGATCTGTTTCTGAAACTACAGCAACTGTGAGAAATGATCAAAAATCCCACATCTGGGACTTTCTACATAGACAGAAATTCACATTTAACTTTAACATTTGCACTCAGCACCTTCCTGTTCCATAAGAAAATAACCAGAAAACCACCAGCTGGCAGCCAGTTCCGTCCCCGAGTTGTCACTGACTTGTTCAGATTAATGATAAAACTGCTGGCTGACTGTCAGGCGACCTGTGCAGTCACCTTTGGTGTGGACAAGCACTTAGTCACCACAAGCTACAATTGGTTGCAGACTGTGGAACAAAAGATTCAGTCAGCTGGATTCAAACATGGATTTTTTAGCTTCTTTGTTTTTGTAGATGGGAGGAGGCTGCTGAGCTGTTCTGTCTTGTGACTGAGCCGTTTGCTTGATCTGAATTAGGAACGAGCTTCATCAACTTCAGTGTGTCCAGAGTTTGATGCTTTCTTGGTTGAGCCGATTTCATGTAGATTCCCTCAGCTGTTATCTCAGGATGGTGATCTTTTGTCTCAGACTAATTTTTATTTATTACTGATCATTTTGTCCCCCCCCCCCTCCTGAAGTCCTGTTAATAACTTCCTGTAAATTTAAACTCATTCTATGTAAATTAAACAGCAGGAAACTGTTACCGTCAGTGTTCCAGCACTTCCTCTGCTCTGCCAGGTTTTTTAAGCGTGATTTCATGCCAGCAGCAGATGGAGCTGGATCCTCTGTGTTACTCTGAGGAGCTGGATTGGCGGCTCCTATCTGTGCTTCTGTTCTGCTTGGAGGAACAAGAACAGTGCAGACAGCCACCTTGTCGGGTTCTGGGCGTTCAGTTTTCAGCTGCACTGCCTGAGACTGCAGAACAGGCTTTCCTGAAGTCTTCTCCGAGGAGGAGAAAGGCCGGATGCTGGCTGGACCCACCGGGGGCTTTTTGTCTGTGGGAGGATCTGAGAGAAGAGGAGCTTGTGGCATCACCGGCTCCTGGTTCTCTTCATCAGCTGCAGGTTGGACATTTTCTCCAGAGCACTTGCGCTTCGAGGGAGATGGCTTTGTGGACGTCTGGGGCACTGAAAACAATAAAGAGATTTAAGCAAACACAAGACAGCTGCAGCTCAGAGGTTAAAGTGCCAAAACATTAAAGGGGCTCATACCTTTATCAATAAGAGACTCGCTGATCACAATGTTTGTGTCAGTCAGTGGCTCTCGAGGCCTTTTCACCACCTGTCTGTTCGCTGCATTGGTTCTTTCTGCCAGTTTCTTCTGGAGGTTCTCTCTGCGAGCTCGAGTTCGCTCCAACAGTTTCTAGTTTGGTAGAGTTGGGTTGTTAATAAAACATCACCTCTGTAGTGTTCAACTGCTTTAGTGAAACAGAGTCGAGCTAAATTACAAACTAAAGCCAGGTGCACAGAGGGATTTATGGCAACGCTGCTGCATCTAAAGGGATGACGCCGCTCACAGATACAGTTTCTGCATCAAAGATCATTTACAAGTGTTTACACCTCATATAAATGGTTTAATAGTCTCCTATAGCTTTGGGCTCTCACGGTTCTCTTTGACTACTGTTACAAATATTTCCCTCACTGTCAGATTCTAATGTTCCTTAGTTTTAGCTGTCAGAGCTGATAACTCCTGAAACATGTGAGCGCATCCAAAGAAACACGAAGTAACCAAAGATAATAAGAACGTGTTTGCTTTCCCTCGTGTTTCTAACACTGCGCTTACATTTCTCCTGTTTGTTTCATTCTGCTGTCTTACTAGTCATATTTTAATTGCTGCATATTTAACGGGAATGCACCCATAACCTCGTTGTCCATGAACAATTGCACTAAAGGCCTAATTCTATTCTGCTGTGCAAGTCCCGACACATACGACACCCTACATCAGCTCTGCAGGCGCTGACGAAAAGCATTGCTGAAGAATGACGCACGCTCCTGTACGCCTGCGGTTTAAACTCTAATGACATCAGACCTGATTCATTTCGGTTAGTTAGCTGGCAGCACCGACATGAGTGAAAATAACAGAAAAGAAAGAAACTGACGCCCAACAGGTCCGACTGCTGGACGCAGCTACGGACACTCAGCGAGTTTAACGACTGGGGCGTTGTTTAACCTCCTAAGACCCGAACTCTTCCACGGCATGCATTCTTAATTTCTCTTTGATATTTGGTCACATTGGGGCCCGATGAATGTAAAAATAAAGAATTACCAGATTTTTTTTTTACCTTATTTTTGTTTTTAAGAAAAATGAGAGCCACATGAGGATATTCGTTTAAAGTTTTGATAGAACAGTAGCATATAACGTCCTCGTAAGTGGATATCAGGCCCTTGTAGCGCAAAATTGAGTATTTTGGTCTAAATAACCCCAAAGGTGATGTCCACATATGTGGACGCAGGTCCTAGAAGGTTAAGGAGCGCTTAAATATAACGATCATTCAGGAGCGAAATACTTGTTAACTTGTTCCAGCCACATACATACTGACATTAAAATGAGATACTTTTTTGTGGCTCATGTAGTCATTTTGACCAAAGAAACACGTGACATGTTTTCTTCAGCCGTGTTAAAAACGTCAACGTCTAAAGCTAATAACAAACAAGCTAATGCCCCGTGCTGTCTGAGCACTACCATTATAACATTTGGTTTCTACGTTAGCTGTGCACTATCCAGTCACTTTAACGCAGCTTCTTCCGTTGTTGGCTGATTAGTAAAGTTTTTCTGTGACTCACCTCAGTAAACGGATCCATTCTGGTTACTTTCTAACAACTCGACTGCAGTTTGAAGTAAAACTACTACAGCTGCGTGTACAGAGAACTGCGCGACTCCAGCTTCTCTCTTTGTACCAAACAGCTTCTGTTCAAATTTGAATTTCGGCGCTGTGACTACTGCGCAGACTCCACATCTTCAACGGACCACTTAGAGCCAATCAAAATCACCGAGAGGGGTCGTGACCGGTGTTGTGCCAAAGAATGACTTCCGGTGTTTCGGTGTGTTTTTTATGTTTGCTCAGATTACAAAATAATCTGCAGTCAGCAGGGTTTACGAAGGTGTTACATATAAAATAAAGAAATGGCCTGTTTTGCGGGTATCTTTACGACTCGGCGTTATTTTACATACTGTGTTCTACATTATATTTGATTCAGCCTTTTTGACCACTTAAAATATTCTGAAATTATCGTTATGTTAATTTTTGTTTTATGTTTTTGCAATTTTTGCTGCCCTCTTGGTCCGATCTCTTTTGGAAAATAAATCTTTTCATGTCAATGACTTGAATGTAAATATATACATTCATTAATAACATAAAAGTTGCTTTGCAAAAAAAAAAAACTGATTGCAGTTTCTACCTGTGACAAAAATATTGTTTCTGGCTTTAAACATTTGTAATTTACGATCGTTTAAATGTCGCCAATCAAAATTTTGGAAAATGTCGGAAATTGCTTTTTTGGCAGGAATTACAATCCTGTCTAAGTTTTCGCAAGAGGAAAAAACAAAAACATAATTCATGCCAAGTTCCCGTACATTGGAAGTCGGCACTACAGAGTCATGCATTCTTGTATCATGTATCACCAGCAGCACAGCTTCGTTGTTGGATTCAAAACCCGCTGCAGCACATTCATGGACGGAGCCCGCTCAGTGCTTTGGCTGCGGCCAGGGCTGGACTGAGACATAAATGGGCATTTTGACTAGAGACCGGCCCACCAGGTATTTATAGGAAAAGCCATAAAGCCTTTGAATGAAAACAAACGCTGCTGTGACAGTGATGTACAGTCTCCTTGGTATATGTATGATTTCTATGCATTTTACATCAGATAAAAACTTTGGTTGTAAGATTCAGATAATTATTTAATAAAAGCGAGATATTTTAAATGAGAATCAGAAAGAAAAGTATTTCTTTGTGCCCCGCCCCTGCACAGTTACCAGCTGTCAGCTACTTAAAAAAGGATCCTGGTGTTATTTGTCTCTCAGAAACATAACTTCCCTTCAACTCATTCATGTCACCTAAAAGGTAAACCTGTTTCTCCATCACCTGTTCAGCTCTGATGATTCAGTAAGGACATCTCCTGGTTTCATCTTCATGTTTCCCTCTCACCAGATAACCAAACCAACATCATGACCAGCAGCTTTACAGCTGTGGTTCCAGCAAACATCAGCTGATCAAGCTTAAAAGTGCTGCTGTTGTTTAGCGCGACATCCGCTGGTTTCCTCTTTCTGGCACAAAGTGGGCGATAAACAAACAAGAGAGCCGATCAGCTGATCACTGATCAGTTTCATGATTGAAGCAGCAACAGGAGAGGGAGGGGAGAGGATGAGAGAAGAAGAGGCAGCTGTGCAGCAAAGACACAGAATAACTCCAGCTTTGTGTCTTTTTCCATTGTAGCTGAATGAAACTGTTTCTTTTCAGCTCAATACCAAACGTGTAATATTTTCTCTGAATGCGAGACGATTCCGTTTTTTACAGGACGGTTGGCAACTCTACTAACTAACCCTATGAACAAAATAAAGTTCACTGTCAGTAACATCACAGCACCCACCCAGCTGTATAGAAACTCTGTCATGCTAGCTAGTACACAGTACAAGTTATTGTAACTGACGGTAAAAAGTCAGCACAACGAAAATAAACTCCACCTAAACTTGGTTCATATCTGACCCAGACAGACTGCAGGTCATCACTTCTTACCTGAAGTTCAGTTCACCTGACACTCGGACCTGCTTCTCCTGCCTCCACTTTCCCTCATTTTTTAGTTTTAGTTTTTGAAAAAGTTAGACAGACTGTAAATGTGAAAAACAAAATGCAGCATTAGACCCTGATTCGGGCGGTGAGGTGAAACAACATGAAGCTTCCAGTTTGTCTGGGCTGTGTCTGCAGTGACTGATCTAAAGAACACCAAAAGTCATGAAACTCTGGAGATGTAGGATCTTACTCAATGATCTCTATTATTTTGGACAGATAGTTTAATCTTGATTATTTAACAATGTTATGAGGTTCAACACTTTGGATTCAGTCAACTTGTGTTTCTGTTTTTTTTTTAAACAAGAAAAATGTAATGATATTGAGATATAAAAATTAAAGAAATAAATGTTAAAATAGACATAGAGGAGGATATATGACATGGAGTTATGATGGGTTTAAACGTCACACCCATTTCCATTACAGGTCACTACTGGTCCCTGTGATGGGGACCAGAGGTTGCATTCCAGGGTTTATTTTAAAAGCTAGATTAAAAGGAACACATTTATGATTTGGGAATTCTTTATTAAGTTTAGTGAGTTTGACATTTTTTTTGTAGTGACAGCGTCTGGAAGATGAAGAAACACAATATCAAAACGTCGGTGAGTGTATCAAGCTGTAGAAATCTGCAGTCCCTGAGCACAGCTAGCCACACCCGTTATCGGTGCGTGTATTGCTTTAAGAAACATTATGTGACGTATACAGCAGCAGTGTCCTATCACCGTGCGGTGCCTATTTTCCCGATCCGGTTTCCACTTTTGCGCAGTTGTAATTTGAGTTACGTCCTAATGCTTTGCTCGTGGACTCATTTCTTTATGTTCACACGAATTAACACGATTTTATTTGCAGACATGTGTGTAAACCTCCTCCTCCTCACACACAAGTGCGATCACTCCCACTGGGACAAGCACAAACAAAACTTCCATTTTTATTTTACGCTTTTCACTTATACTTCATTACAAAATATTCTTCTTTCCAAGCTCCTTAGACCCTTACCAAACATATATTAGATATACTGTTATGCCAAATTAATTGGAATACATACACTTCACCTTGTATTTCATCAGTTGGTTATAATCAGGATCATTTGGTCTCCTGGTATCAGAATCATGGGACAAACTCTTTCTCCAGGTTGCCTGCAGTAACTTTTTTAATCCAGCAGCTCTCACTACTGAGCAGCACATTAATCACTTCACGAGGAGTCATCCAACCATCACCAGCGTCATCTCTGCTGTCATGGGATCACGTGACTGCTCAGAGTCAATTTCTGATCCGATTGCTGTGTAAAGTGCTTTGTCAGTAAGGTCAATAAGGTCAGTAAGACCTGAAAATAACTCAAAGCTCATGTGGTAAAATGTGTGTGTGTTACAGGACAAAAAAAAAAAAAGTGGGGGGAGTGGTGCAGTGGGTTCAGGGGGCAGTGCCAGAGGAGGCTGGCCAATGCAGTTAGGGATCATCAGATCATGCCTCCCCTGCTTGAGCAGCACACAGGACATGGAGGGAGAGAGGAGCTGAGAGAGAACAGCTGTGTACCAAAACAGAAAGAGCCAGTCGGCAACAGCAGCCCAGGAAGGCGTCAGTGCACATAAACAGTGCTTTTAAAACCCCGTGTGTGCATCGTGCTGAGCAGTATAACACAAGTGTGTGTTACTTGGCGGTTTAATTTCAAAAGCAGTATTGTGAAGGTGGTTAACGACCAGTTTTAAGGGCAGCAGCAAAGCCCTGTGATGTCACTGTGCCTGGCAACGTTATTCTCAGGGAAGTATGGCAGTTCACATGCACACAAGCTTCACTTGTATAATTAAGCACACAGCTTTCATGAGCTCAGCAGCTGAGATTGAATCTTACTCTCCAGTGAACTATAAAAGATGAAGGACACAGCAGCGCCTGCAAAGAGATCCGGGTCATTCAGATGGTGCTCAAACTGTATCAATAAGAGTTCGTACAGACCGTGATCATCTATCAATTTATTTTTATTTTTCTATACATATATAAAATGTTTGGCACATTTCTTTTAAAATACATCATATTTTTGTCTAAACATTTGTTATGGCTTGAATATTTCTCATTTACGATTTTCCATTGATAACCTGAAACCCAAAAGGCAATCTTGGCACTTGTTCACATTCTGTAGGAAACTGCGCCACAGCAAACCGAGATAAAGCAGAATCCTGATAGGTTAAAATCTTCATGTCATTCAGTTCTGTCTTTGCTGCAGCCGATGTCACCGCTCATGTTTGGGCAGAATGTCTCCCCTGTCCACCACTGCCATACCAGGTCTGCTAAGCTCCTTAGGAGGTAGGTCTGCATAAAATTCTGCAAACACAGGGCAGTGATCAGAGGCCACACCGCCCCATGACCAGTTATCTGGGATCCAGGGGTTAGTTAAGCCTTCCCGAACTACCATGCAGTGGCCTGTCAGAACAAAGGACACAAGAACAGTCAGGAGATACTTAGAACTTCATGCAACACAAATAATGCACCAAACTTTGATCTGATAGTAGCTTCTATAAAACTAGGATCACATTCATCATACATTTGAAAAGTAACCATGTATCCTCTACTTTACACATAGTTTAAAATACATTTTTACATTTATTTTGTAATTATTTTTATCTTGAGACTCAACTTAAACTTTGATTGAGTGACTTCTAGTCTAAATAACTCAGGTGCAAGTGTGGCCTCAAAGTGCTTTTAACTAGGCTCAGACTTGTCTTGCCACACTTGGTAAGTTGATGATTTGACACTCAGATTAGACCAAACTTAGACTTGAAGACCTGGTTTGACTTGTCATAACTGGAGACCAAATTTTAAATTGGTTTGGTGAACTCCAGAGCACACTTAGTCTTATGTAAAGGACCTGAGACCTGACTTAACATTTAGTTTGTGTTCGGCATAAAACCTGACCTGTTTTTAACCAGACTTGAAACTAAAGCCAGCCTCGTTTTAAGACTGTTAATGAAAAACCTGACTTTACTTGTTTTATATGACTAGTTTATAAACCGCTATACATTTAATCGTTAGTTGCTTGTGTGACTTCTTTCTTTTCAATTCTTCTTCTTAAAAGGGAGTTTTTCCTTCCCACAGTTCATAGAGGCTCATCTGATTGTTAGGATTGTAAACATACAATATAAAGAACTAAACTGACCACCTGTGTAAAAGCAACGCTCGACTTGGACTTCTGTGATGACTCTATGTAGAGCCTACAGTGTAGCTTATGTGGCTGACACTGTTGCCCCTGTGTGGGCTGTATTGGACGTGTGGTTACATTTGTGCACATTATTGCACAACACACTTTCACAAGGGTTTGCAGTAGCGTAGATTTAACGCAGAAGTTTATTTCTATTGTAAGTTTGGCAGTTTGTTGCTCTGGTTCAGGTGTGCCAAAAACACGCAGTGCTAACTAATAACACAAGAACTACATCTAAAACTATACAGGCGTAAGTTAGCATGTTATATGTTTGAGTTCCTGATAGTTAGAAACAAAGACTAAACAAGTACGGCTTGTTTGGAAGGGTCACCAACAGAAATCCCCATCTTTCTAAAACGCACCTCATAAAAATTGGAGCTGTGCATAATGAAAACCCTGAGTGGGCTAAAATACAAGGTTCAAAGTTCTTTATTTGCCATTCGTGCATAAACCAGCAGGCACACTGGAACTCTTGTGCAGAGCTCTGTCAGTCATAGTACGCATGTTAGAAAGAGGCAGAAATAAACAAGACAGAACAAAAAATCTAAGTTGGTTTTACAAGCTCCTGAATCATGGAGGTGTACTCGGCTTATTTACTTATATACAGTTATGTAAAAAAATCAAATAAATGACAGAGAGTCAACGTGGACATTGCCACTTATCTTTAAAACTTCATATCAGTGTATCCAGACTATTTAACCTAGAGTCTTCTATCATGCCACAACTGAGCTCGATTCAGAGGATCAGACGGGAACTCTGATTGTTCTTTAACTCTGCAGGATCTCCATCTTCCATTTTAAAAAATTACATTATGAAAAAAAAAGGTTTTTTTCATCATTTTAATATAATAACTTTCAAATATTCATTAACCCTTTCATGCATGAATTATGACAAAAAAATCTTTTAAGTATTTTTATTCATCTTTAGGCATGAAAAATACGTTTTTTGAATTTCTTTCTCTTTTTTTTTTTAACGTTCTTTTCAAGGATTTTTCTTTCCTTTAAACATGTGCAGTTAGGTGGACAACTGGCTATTTTTAGGCCTTTCTGAGAACCGGTGTGGTTATGGCATGGTCTCAAAGCACCTTGAGGGAACTGTTGTGATTTGGCGCCAGAAAAATACAATGAATTGAATTTAAAAGCATCCTTCGTCCATCCACTCAGACTTCAGAACAGTTGCTATTCCTCCTACAGTAATGGTAAGAAAGTTATCAAACTTACAACTATCATCTAATCTCTTCACAAACTGTGGAAAGATCACACTGGTCTTCAAACATCGTGGTTTCTGTGTCTCTGCACTCTTCATCCAGATTCTATGCAATACTTACTTTCAGGTGAAAAGAGGACTTTGGACCAACAGTCTAACAGCAGGATGGTAACATTTTTTCATTTTAGCTCAGATAATAAACTAAAAGATTTCTATTTTTCAGGATTGGCTTGAATGTGACAGTTGTAGCCTCTTTCCTGAAGACATCTGTGCACGGTGGCTCGTGATTTGCTAAGACCAGCCTCAGCCAAGTTCCTAAAATCAACTTTTGTTTTTTGCTTATACAGATGTTCCTACCATACTTTTAGTTTCTAGTCAACCTCTGATTAAAAAGCTTTGATATAGTTCTCTGAAATCAATCAGCCTTCTCAGCACAGATCCTCTGTGGCTTTCCCTCCATGGAGTGTCGATATCCGTCAGCGAGACAGCTGTCCATCCTACTACCTACTACTAATAATAATAATAACAATAATAATAATAATAATAATTTGAGCGAACCAACATTTAAAATAAAGCAGAAGAAATCATATCAGGTCTAACCTGATTAAATTACAAAAAAATAAATAAATAAATTCCATGATGTTCAAATATCCTGAGATGCACTTGTAATGTAAACTTAGCCGACTTTTGCCCTGAATTAATGAAACACGAATAAAACTGAGCTGAACTAAATAACTTGAGATATGATGAATGCTGAATGAATTCACAGATAATTTCCCTTAATATGAAACCTGACCTTATCAAGACAACCTAAGAGAACTTTTTAATCTTAATCGGTGCAACTGTCCAAACACAACTGTACATGTACCTGAATATATCTTCTGCAGAGAACGGCTGACCCAGATGTTGTCCACGCAGCGGGTGCCCTGTGGTGAGCAGGTGGTGATGTTGGTGAACTGAGTGGATGGTATCAGGGCACAGAATTTCTCCTTTCTCAGTGTGTCCAGCTCTGAACTCTGAGGAGAGCAACCAAAATTGCCCAACACTAGTAGATCCTTTTCACCTACAAAGAAAGAAACGGAAAATAGGACAAGACTTTGCGGATCCGTCTACGGCGTCTGACACATGCGGTCTCGACTGGTCCGACCTGGCAGACTAACCTTTTAGTGTTCCCTGGATGCTGGGAGGGAGGCGTTGACACTTGGCTTCATCAGAGTTTTGGTTTTTGCCACCGGACTGCTCTGGTGAAGCAGGGGCTTGCATATGGACATTCACCACCGTCAGCTCAAATGAACCAATCTAATGGAAAAAGTCAATTTTTTGACCACTTAAATTTTTATCCTGCTAAGTAAAAAGAAGAACAATACATAAAACCAAAGAAATATGCAGCAGTGCATCAACCATGTGTTAGTTCTGGAGGTTTAAGAAAGTATTCAGATCCTAAACAATTACAAATGGATATTGTCTGATTGTTGGGCTGTTCTCTTCATCGTTCCAGGGTCTTATAGATAAGGCTCTCTGAGACAGCTGTTGGTGGGTTTGGTGCCATATAAATAAAATTAATTGAATTGTTTTTTATAACCAAACACACATGAATTCAATGACAATAAATTATAGCCTTACTAAAAAGTGAGCCACATAGAGTGGATGGTGTACATGACTCCCATTTCCATTGACAGCAGGAGACTCCAAGACGAGGGCATCCTTCAGATCAATTCCTGAGGAGCTATCCCACAAAAAGCCAGAGTAGCTCACTCCCTGGGAACAGAGTTTATTTAATTAATATAAACTTTCAAGTCAATCTTCTTACTCTACTTATGATTTAGTCAATCACAGCTATTCATATGTCAGTTACATAAACATCTGACATGTAGTTTACTGATGCTGATTCTTAGAGTGTAAGCATGAAGGTAAACAGCTGCTGGTAATAGAGCTGGAGGGTCACTGCTATTTTTACAAAAGATCAATTCATATTTATTCCGCATGAAAGATCAGTCTCTGTGCAGAGGCGCTACTATAGTTTTACTGCAGTACATCTGCAACAGTTCTAGATAATAAAAGAAACTGTAGTGGTTAAGACAAAAAGTCACAGTGTTAAAAAATGTTAAAAACTCTCGACAGGTAAATTATTCAAATCGATTTCTGGGAACTGAAAACTGAACTGATTGATCTTTGGCAAAGTTTAGACTTCGATTTATTTTTGTGGATACAATTTAAAGTGTCGTTGTAACAGCTGCCAATGGTAAACCCACCTTGCTGGAATGGCCGGTGGGTTTTTCCGACACAACACTTTTCCACAGCCCTCGTGGCCATTTCCACTTCTGTAAACTGGCAAGTGTTCCTTGATTTAATTCTGCACAGAACTGCAACACATAAAGACAGGTTTGCCTGTTATTATATTACTAACTAAAAAGCAAATTAACATTTTGTAAAACTCTGGAAGCAACTGGCACAAAGTATCTAAAGCAACTTGGGATTTGGTATCTTGCCCAAGGACACTGGAGCAGCCAGAGATTGAACCACCAGCCTTCGGATTAGAGATTATCTGCTCTACCTCCTGAGCTACAGCCAACCCAAATTATTAATAGATAATTATTTAAATACAACATGGCAAACAGGTAATACACACACAAAAAACATTTTAAAAGTATTAAGTATCATCTTCTACCAATCTGCTTCGATATAAATTAAAAGGACCCAGCTGGCAGGACTTGAAATTTAAAAATGAAATTAATATTTCAGATTTGAATATGAGCATTTTATATTAAGACATACGGATTTCCGGACATTCAATTTAAAGTCAACTACTACTTAGTGCTTGAGCAGCAGTTAACAGCAAACAATATGAAATCTTATTTTAAACCACTCAAACCGGCGCACAGTTATTAAAGCAAATGTTCAGTTGAATCATATATAAACTATCAGTCAAACGTTTGGACACACGTTCACAGTTAATGTTTTTGTTTTGTTTTTTATTTAGATTCTCACTGAAGGCATCAAAACTATGAATGAACACAGATGGAATTATGTAGCAAATAAAAAGTGTGAAATAATTCAAAACACGTTTTATATTTCAGATCCTTCCTAACAGCCTCTTTGCTTTGATTGCTGCTTTGCTCACTCCTGGCGTTCTCTCCACGAGCTTCATGAGGTCGTCACCTGAAAAGGTTTCCAACAGTCTTGAAGGAGTTCAGAGATGCTGAGCTCTTGTTGGTCCTCCATCTCATCCCAAACCATCTCCACTGGGTTTAGGTCAGGTGACTGTGGAGGCCAGATCATCAGGTGCAGCACTCCATCTCTCCTTCTTGGTCACAGAGCCCTCACACAGCCTGGAGGTGTGTTTGGGGTCATTGTCCTGCTGAAGAATAAATGATGGGATGTGGCTGCAGGATGCTGTGGTAGCCATGCTGCTTCAGTCTGCCTTCAATTTTGAATAAATCCCCAACAGTGTCAGCAGCAAAGCCCCCCCACACCATCACACCTCCTCCTCCAGGCTTCACAGTGCATGTAGAGACCATCGTTCACCATCGCACAAACACACAACAGGTGGAACCAAAGATCTCAGCTGTGGACTCATCAGACCAAAGCACAGATGGTCTAATTCCTCGTGTTTCTTGGCCCAAACAAATCTCTTCTTGTTGCTTTTCCTCAGTCGTGTTTCTCAGCAGCTATTTGACCATAAAGGCCTGATTCACACAGTCTCCTCTGAACATGTACAGATGTGTCTGCTACTGGAGCTGTGTGGCATTTATCTGGGCTCTGATCTGAGGCTGGTGACTCAGATGAATGTATCCTCAGCAGCAGAGGGACTCTTGGTCTTCCTTTCCTGGGGCGTCCTCATGTCAGACAGTTTCATCGTTTCAGTTTCAGTCTTGATGTTTTTGCGACTGCACTTGGGGACAAAGCTTTAGCAATGTTGCAGACTGACTGACCTTCAGTCCTTACAGTAATGATGGGCTGTTGTTTCTCTTTACTTAGCTGATTGGTTCTCGCCATAATATGAACTCTATCAGTTGTCAAACAGAGCTGTGAGCTGTGCACCAACCTGACCGCTGCACAACACAACTGATGGTCCCAACCCCATTAACTCTTTCACGCACAGTGGTCACTACAGTGGGCAGCTATTAAAAAGGCTGTTTTCTTGTATTTGCGTCAGTGTTGTTGGTATGATGAAAGGTGATGTTGTCCACATAAGTTAACATGTAAAAAACTTTTTTTAAAGTACATGTATAAAAGAAAGTTCAAAAATCTTTTTTCATGCCTAAAGATGAATAAAAATCCTGATCGAGGTTGTCAGAATTCCTGCATGAGAGGGCGAGAAATTCCACAAATGAACCCTGACAGGCACACCTGTGAAGTGAAACCATTTCAGGTGACTACATCATGAAGCTTATTGAGAGAAGGCCGAAGGTTTGCAGCGCTGTCGACAAAGCAAGATTTGTCAGATTCGTCAAAGCATTACTTTGACAAATCTACAATATAAGACATATTTAGAGTTATTTATCCTTTTTTTCTTTGCTACATAATTCCATATATCTTTCTTCATATATGTGATGTCTTCAGTTTGTATCTATGATGTAGAAAGTAGTAGAAATAAAGAAAAACCATTAAATAAGAGGTTGTGTCCAAACCTTTGACTGGCAGTGTTTAGTGCCAAGTCACAAAAATCGCCTCAAGGTGCTTTATAGTTTAAGGAAAAAGACCCTGCAGCAAAAACCTCAAACGACCCCCTTTAGCAAGCACTTGGCAACAGTGGGAAGGAAAAACTCCCTAGAGGAAGACTCTGCCAGAACCAGGCTCAGGGAGGGGCAGCCATCTGCCGCAGCTGGTTTGAGGTGATGGGAGAGAGCCAGAGATTAATAATAACAAATGATGAAATGCAGAGTGAGCAGAGTAAGCACATAGTGAGTGAAATATGTGAGTAAAGAAGCAACAATCAGTGCATCATGGGAAGCCCCCTAGAGCAGCGGTCCCCAATCCCCGGGCCTCGGACCGGTACCGGGCCGCGAGAGTTGAGGCTCAGGTGTGAAATGTATAGTTTTCAGGGTTTTTAATCGGTTTTCAGTTATTTTGTTATCGTTTTTATCGTTGACTCGGTTTTCCTGGGTCTTTTCACGTGTGTTATGAATAAATCTTCTTTTTTTCGGTACCGGTACTGGTTTTATTTTGTTGTATTTATCCGCGACACCTTAAAGGCCGGTCCATGAAAATATTGTCAGGCATAAACCGGTCCGTGGCGCAAAAAAGGTTGGAGACCGCTGCCCTAGCACCCTAGGCCTTCTGTAGAGCAGCTAGGGGAGGAGTCATTGCTGGATCGCTGGAGTTCAACTATATGTCTTAACAAATAGGAACGTTTTAAGCCTAATCTTAAAAGCAGAGACGTTTTCTGTCTCCCAAATCCAAACTGGGAGCTGGTTCCAAAGACCAGGAACCTGAAAGCTGAAGGCTCTGCTTCTACTTTTAAATATCCTCGCAACCACAGCTTGATTTGGACCTCTGTTGGAAAGCCACATTCTAACTTGCATAATAACCAGAAGTTCCTTTTATCACTATATCACAACCTCCCATGGCATTCAAGCCCTTGTGATGTGTGTCGATCTGTTATATAGAAGGTTTTGGTATAGGATGGGGTTTCAGTTAAAGCGCGGGTTACGACGTAGATTTCCTGAAGAAGTATAATTTACACGTAAGCCAGTATCCCTAGAGTGAAGTGCTCTATTGGAGTGACACGGTACTACGAAGTCTCTAAGATAAAATGGAGTCTGATTATTCATGAAGTGCCAATTCACCTCAGTGGTCATAAGGTACTATAAGATCTTTAAGATATGACTATAAGCGGAAGAAAATGGCTATAATTTATTGATTTGTTATTCAAAATCTTTATTCATTAAAGTCGTTCATGTGTGTCACGTGACTACATTCTGAATGATACCCGGCACAATGTGCCAGACTTTTCAGCAACAATTTATTAATTATTCAGATGTTAATCTGTTATATTTTAATAACACATGAGCATCTTCTGTAGTAACGCTGTAGTATAGTTAAACTTAACATTAGTTTATTATTTTAAAGTTTTTTTCTTCCTTTTCTATTTGGAGTTTGATGTGTAATATTTATAACACACGATGTGAGGTGCTGCCCAGTTAAGTGACATGAAGAATGGGATTAATGGTTTCAGAGTTTTAAAATATTGTTTATTAAACGATTCTCAAACGTAAGTTGACGTCTGAGTGTTTCTTAGTTTTAGACTAGTCAGTTATGTGGTCAAATTTATTTCCCTCGTTTAGTCAACTAAGAAAATAGTTGCCAGAAACATCCCAACTAAATACATCTGCCCCCTTACTGTGACCAGCCCAGAGAAACGGGACATCGCTCCTCTGTCAGCTGTGACAAAAGAACAAAAACACAAGCCAAATGTACAGAGCGGACCAAGCCAACAGACTCCTTCCAAGACAGGAGTGAAAACAGTTTCCATCGAACAATGAGCTTAAGTCAGATGATGCAAACCGTCTCCAACAATGAATTAGATCCCAGACAAGCCCCCACTTGTTACAAGTTGGCCCATAGCCAGTGACAAAGAGGGGGGGACGAGTCAGGATGTGTTGCTAATCATTATGTTATTCACTAAAAGGAAATATGACAAAGTTACAAGAAATCAGTAATGACATGAATGAATGAATGAATGAATGAATGAATGAATGAATGAATGAATGAATGAATGAATTGTGCGCTAATGTTGGCAGCAGTGTGACGGAAAAAATAAACTAAAATTTGAGGGTGTCAGTCCTGGAAGCGAGAGCACAAGAGTATTTTTAACTCAGGCGTACTTAAACCGCATGGAAGGCCCTACATGGCTGTAACCCAATCAACTTAACGATCCTCTCCATCACTGAAACCCTGCAGAGTATACACAAAGACAAGCTGCTGTCACATTTCTGATTCCTGCTGCCCGTGCACGCAAGTCACCTCATTTACAATAGAAGTTGGGATAAGTGTAATTCATGTTCCACTTTACCTTATCAATAGCCTCGTGCTCCAGCAGGTCTTGCACTGCCAGTAACTTGATACTGTAATAAGAGAGAGAATGCATTTTTTAAAAATGTACCTTTACACATACATCATATACATACATATGCATTATTTACCCAAATCCTCTTAAAATAAATAATTAGTTGAAAAACCTGATAGAAAGGCATGATAATGAAACCCACTGACAACAAAAGGACACTTTGGGCATTCCTCCTGTCATTACTACATGGTTTTACAGTGGTCTGAAAAAGTGATTGCCCCTAAACACCCTTAGCAGCAACAACTGCAATCAAGTGTTTGTGTTAACTGGCAGTGAGTGTGTCCCAGCGCTGTGGAGGAATTTTGGCCCACTGATCTTTCCAGAAATGGTGTAATTCAGCCACACTGGACGGTTTCAAGCAGGAGCTGCACTTTTAAGGTCATGCCACAGCATCTCAGTCACGTTCATGTCAGGGCTTTGACTGGGCCACTCCAAAGTCTTCATTTTGTTTTTCTTAAGCCACTCACAGGTGGACTTGCTGATGTGTGTTGGATCATTGTCCTGCTAAAGAACCCAACTGCACTTCAGCTTCAGGTCACAATAGATGGTCACCATATTTTACTGTTGGTATGATGCTCCATTTCGAAAATGTTGTCTTACTTTTACACCAGATGTAATGTGACATTTCCAAACAGTTCAACGTTCGTCTCATCAGTCCACAGAGTGTTTTCCCAAAAGTCTTGGAGATCATCACAATGTTTTCTGGCAAAACTGGGATCAGCCTTTATGTTCCTTTTGCTCAGCAGTGGTTCTCGTCTTGGAACTCACCATGCAGGCCATTGTTGCCCAGCCTCTTTCTTATGGTGGAGTCATGAACGCTGACCTTAACTGACACGACTGAGGCCTGCACCTCCTTGGATGTTGATCTAGGATCTTTTGTGACCTCCTGGGGTAATTTTGGTCAGAAACTCTTTGGAAGGTTCACTAGCTTCCGTGTTTTTAATTTCATTTGTGGATAATGGCTCACGAGAGCCTTTGAGTTTGGATTTTTTCCCCATATATACTAATAAACACCCTCATTTTGAAACTGCATTTTGTGTTTACTTCTTATCTTTGCCTAATATTTAGGTTTATTTGATGACCCTGAAACATTTACGTGTGACAAACATACACAAAAAAAAAAAAAAAAAAACACGTTTTCACACCACTGTATATAATACTGGGTGGACCACGTTCATTTTTTCAGGTTACTTTGAAACTCAACCGTACTGGTTAGAGTTAATCATCAGAACACCCATTCTGTATTTGTAAATTAAAATTCATAAACTTACAATGTTTGGGAAAAATAAATTTGATCAGAACATTGAAAAATTAAAATTATTACTAGCTATGAAGTAATGTGAGGGATGACTCTGTTTTATAGAAATCTTCTAACATTAATGGAAGAACCTTTTTAGAAACTTTTAGCCTTAATTAAAAGTTCTGAGCATTTCATTTCTTCTTTCTACCCTCGCACTGCATCTGCACAGCATTTATGACTTACTGGTACCAAGCAAAGCTGAGATCAGTTTTTCTAGGAGATCGTCATGTATTATGGTTGACTCAGCATAGTAAACACACAGCAAACTTAGGCCAAATTTAAAGTTTCTTTTAACAAACTGGCAGACAGCTGAGAAAATAAGACTCTTTATAGACACACTTTAGACTGTTTGAAATTCAATGTGCCAACACTGCATGAAGGAGGGGCCTTTACAGCCCAATAAATATTGAACTGTTTACTTTTCAAATGACTTCCCAGATCAACAGTCAGCTTAATAAAATGCTACACATTTCTAACAGCCACGTTTACCCTGAAGATGAGCTGCTTTGCATTGCATTTTGCAACACAGGTGAGACACTCAACATTACAGCTGCTGGCTGCTTCCTGTCAGCTGATCCTCAATGAAACCAGGGATGCACAAGCATCATAAGTAGTGCCGTCAGTCAGGAGTCAGAATTGAGTTACAACACAAATCCTCTACATGTCACATGACATGGCACAATTCAGCCATGATCAGACCGCCACGTTGATTCAGTTATACAGGATTCATGTCAGACAGAGAAAAAGAGCAGAGTTCTTCTCCTTTAAAGATGGGGACCGATTCTCATCGCCAACAGTCATTTGACAACTGTGGGTAACGTGGAGAAGAGATGTGTGTGCAACACCTGGTATCTGCTCAAATGGAGCAGTTTCCAGACATTTCTGCAACAACTAGTGATGTTTTCAAAGAATCAACATAAACTGTGACTGTTATAGCAAAGATTTTCTACATGCTGTCAATACATACCAACACAAAAGGAAGAAAAGCTGCACTGAAGCTACTGTCTCAGCCATTTGTACTTGTGCTACTATAAATAAACATCACAGCTGTTTCTTCAGCACTCTCATGCTCAGTGTGCCAATTCCATCTACCCATCCACGACTACACACCAGTAGTTCCAGTTTTCACCCTCCTTTACTGGCAGTGGTCTAAATGTGGCCCTTCAAAGGATTAAGGGTATGAAGTAGCTGAGGTCCTTATAAGCATCCCCAGCAGGTCTTCTAGAGAACTCCACCTGCCTGGGTGAGGAGGAAACACACCACCAGCCCATCCACATTTTTACATCTACTTCATCTACTTTTATTAAAAAACAACAACAAAACAAAAAAAGAAAAGGAAAAAATAAACTTTAGTCCTTCATAATTCTATGTGTGATTGCCAATTTGAAGCTAGACTCCACAAACAGCCAGATGCATTAGAGACAGCGCTCTGAAAGCTACTGGCTACGGCTAAACAGTCTTTGTAGGACGATGACAATAACAACAGCCATCTGCATCAACTGAAGACTAAAAATAAACATTGAATAATGTGCAAATCTGGTTCCACACTTTTGGACTCTACTGATCACATGCATGTATGACACTGCAGTCTTACAGTCTTCATGCAATAGCTCCCTAAAACTCCATGCCTGCAGTCAGTCTGTCCTCAGACCACCAAGAATAAAAACAGCTCCTCTGTTATTTACAGTGCGGTTGCCACAACAGGTTGCTCAGATTGTTTTGATTTGTTACACCGGATGTCCTTCCTGATGATTCGTGTTTACTCCTGGGAATTACATTTTGCTCAGGTGTAAACTTCTACATTATGCAGCTACAACCAAAGCACCAAGAATAATAAACAACACCAGCAAAAACCCCAATGACTAAATGAATGGAAATATTTCAATAGCACCAAAGAGCAAAAACAACTAAATATAACACAATGACTCACGAGGCCTCTCTGAGTCACTGTTAGTAAATTAGTATTTAACAGCTGATCAAAATATTGATTTCTTTTGTCCTAGAAACATCACAGCAGGAAGTCCAAGTTTAAAAGAATCAGCACCTTAAAGTCGTACGAACGGTCAGAATCTTTAACACAGGTCGAGGATCGGCCGCAGTCTTTCGTGCTCGCTTATCAACCAGAGATCTAGACAGAGTTGCTCATTAGAAAGCTTTAGATGTTCTCAGACCATCACTGAAAAACACAAGTTTAGTTACATGTTGTTTATTGCACAGAGGTTTTTTGAATGCTCAGTTCAGATAAAATGATTAAAATCCTGACGAACATTTCATTGTTGAAAACAATAGCAATGTTTTTAATTCATTATCAAGTTAAATTTGCATCTCTGAAAATGCAAATAAACCCTCGTGCTCCCTGTTTTCTCCTGATTCAGTACACATGGCATAAAAACAGAGCGTCTCATGATTTAAACTCCAGCTGGGTAAGTATGTGTGGAGGTTCATGTTCCTCCTGTGCCTGCTGGGTTTTCAATGGTACTCCAGGTTCTACTCAATTAGACTAATTGGTGTTTGATCCTGTTAATGAACCTCTGCAGGGCTCAGTCTATATAACCCTGAATACTGAAAATGAGACAAACACATCAGGGACACACACACACACGCACGCACGCACGCACGCACGCACGCACGCACACACACACACGCTCGGTGGATACATCAAGGGCAAATCAGGGTTCAGTATCTTGCCAAAGGACGAGAGTAGAGGGATCAAACCACCTGATTGGTTAATGACCGAGGCTACCTCCTGAGCAACAGCTGCTCCAAACTAATTATGGCTTTTTTTTTTTAACTTGTGCTGTTTTACTTGTGTTCTTTGTTTTGTATCATGCTTTTCATTATTCTTTTAGCTGTAAAGCTTTGATCAGTGGCTGTTGTTTTAAAAAGTTTTAAAAAGCTGTTTTTTTACCCTGTTCAGACCACATGTTGCTGGACTCCGTTTCACTTTTCTAGCACCTGCATGTTTTCACTGCTCTGCCACACTGGCCCACCTGAGACGCTGAACAGCTTGGTGTTGATGGGATTATAGGCAGAAACTTTGTCCACAGATCCTGTTTTCAGAATAAACAGCCTGCAGTCCCACAGACAATACCTCCTTCCTCCCCTGCAGGTCTGATCGCTCTGAGAGCATGCAACGCTCCTGCTGCTTAAGATCCTGATCCTCCCATTTCCACTGGCAAGGATCCAAACACCCACAGTCTGAGCTGCCTATTAGCCATCTCATCAGGGCAACACTGGTAACTGTAAGCCACGACTCTATGGTCAAGTCTATAGAGGTAGACAAAATTAGTTGGGTTTACAGCAAGAAAAATACACATAAGCATAAGAGTAAATGTTGCATAAAGACTCGTCAGTGTCACTCTGACAGTAGCAACCACTGATAATGCCAAACAGGACTACATATTAGCTGCTTCAATGCAGACACAAGTGAGACACGGTGAAGCATCCTTTGAGCATCACATTTGAAGACTGATTAAGTCACAACCAGGAGACGAAGGCTGTCCACATGGGCTCGTCCAAAAGCAACCCACGTTCTTTTTTTTGCGTTCTTTTCCCCAGATTTACAGGTTGCACCAGGTCCACCCTGTCCCAATATTCATCGCACATCAGTGATTGAAGGATATTTGGGGGGAAAAAATAGGAGGCGGTCCAAGAAACTGGTCCAGTTTCCAGGTATAAACTAATGAACGTAAGTACTG